AAGTCAAAACAGGCAATGAAGTGGAGCGATAAAGTGCAGCTGGTTATGATTGAGAGGCTTACTACTGTGCAGCCATCAAGACAAGTACATGACATTACATTAAAGCTACGTAGTTATTACAAACAACACCAGCATTTAGTATTTTCATGGATGGCATTTTCAACCTGTGGTTTGTTCACCGTCTTCCCACCTGGTGGAGCTCTACTTAAAGGTCCAGTGTGTAACATTATCTATTGTCAGAAATGTAATATTTATATGTATGTTTTCATTATAATTATCTGAAAATAAGAATTGTTATGTAGGCTGCCAGTATCTTTGGTGTCCTTTTTTCCAACTGGGGCTCAGTAATGTGACGTTTGATCTTCAACTTGATTGGATGAATTGATTGGTGGCACACTTTTTAAAATAACATCACGTCACAAGACATTGGTGTTAAGTTGGATTAAACAAGTTGAGTCTAAAATCATCAAATCTGTGACTTGAGTCTCACTCAAGTTCACACTACTGATGGGCAGGACCTCAATAATGCAGTGGTATCGATGGGAGCAGCTGTATCCTGGATATTTTGGCTTCAATCCTATCTTATGTTCATACACTCAAAGCTAAAGCAGTCTTTGTTAGCTATGTTCCAGACCTCTGAATCACTGGACACATCAATTTGTTCATCTTTGATGGATGTTTGCTCAGTTTGGATTGAGAATCGACTGACTTCATTGTAAGCTACATACAGAAATAAGACCAAGAGTCTACAGCAACGCTAGCAGCTCTGGGAGGCTTTACTTTTTCTTTAAACTCTAACGTAAGCATGCTAACGTGCTTATGTTAACATCTTAGTTTGTTAATTAGCACTAAAGTACAGCTGAGGCTGATGGGTATGTCATTAGTTCTTGTAGGTATTTCGTCATGATGGCGCTAGATAGAAAAGGATAAGTAAAGTAATTCGAGTTCATCCTGAGGGGAACAATCAATATGTTTCTTTAAAAAGCAGTGGATGCTGTATTTTTAGGTCAGCAGTCATTATGTGGAGCAGGGAGCAGGTGTCAGCTCTTTTACAAACTCATGTTCCCTAATTTTTGAAGTATAGTCATCTACTGAGAGAAGCTCGAGGTCTGGCAGCGGTTTGACGGCTGCCATTCTGCTACACTCCTCTTATTAATTATTTTGTGTTCAGACTTCAGATGCTAATTTCTTCAGCATCAGCATCATTTTAATTTTAAACTCAGCAGCAGCACCAGTCTGTAAATGTAAACAACTGCCTCAGATGTACCCACAGCAGCTTTAATTAAAAAATACTATTATTATCCCAGAGTGCACTTCTAGAATGCTTCATTTACATGTTAAAGTCCCACTTGAGCCTAATTTTGATGTTGCGCTGAAGAGGTTTCTATTTAAACAGATATTGCTCGTTATCAGGAGGAGAATAGGACCTTTCATGTGTCTGTGCCCGTCCCCTCTGTCTGTTTATAGAGATGTAAATATGGAAAAGATGGCGCGGTATAAAGACCTCAGACCTTTTGTAAGGTGAGTTTGCAAAAACAGTCTTGCTGCGTCTCGTTTCTTCTGGCGAGTGTGAGCTGGCATCGTCGCTGATCCTGTCAGCGCCAAAGCCAGAGCGGGAGGGAGCTGAACAGCCTCGGGCAACTTGCTCAGTGAATCAGCTCACTGAAGTGTGTGTGTGTGTGTGTGTGTGTGTGTGTGTGTGTGTGTGTGTGCGTGTGCTTATTCCCACGTGGGTTTGTGTGACTTTGAGATTGTGAGCGCGTTCATTTCGTCGTTGGTGTTTGTGCCTGTGTTAGTATTCCTGCGCTAATATCCCCCGAGGCCGGGCGACTGGCCCACATCACAGAGCTGTGAAACGGAGAGGTCACAGCTGTGTGTGTGTGTGTGTGTGTGTGTGTGTGTGTGTATGAAGAAGTTATGACACAGCTGGTGTGACGTTCTTCCACCTGTGAAACTCAGATTTTAAGTTTAAGCCTCTGCACTGTGACGAACATCTGGATATTCCAACCGTGGATGTGGATCGTTTAAATAAAAGTCGCTCACCCAGCGCCAAAAAAAGTGCTTTACACTTCCTGGTTTGCTTCCTCGTGCGTAACAGAGTATGATAGAGATTCTTGCTCATGAGGACCATTTTTTTAGACCAGAAAACCCTGAAAATATTAGCCTCTGTTTGAATCCAGCCACACTTTGACTATACCTGTACTACCTGGTACAGTAGCACCCTTTACGGGATTAAAACGAAACTTTCCCAATTAAAGGAATTAAAATGGTTGATGGTAGAAAATAGGGTCAGGCAACTGAAACTGAGAGTTGTATATACGATGTTGGAAGGTATTTTTAAAATTATTTTGAGCTAGTTAGCGACTCACATGGTTATTTGACTTTGAGGATATTGTTCCATGTAGATTCAAGACATCAGCGGTAGAGTGGAACAGACTTCCTTTAGACATAAAAGGACAGACATATTTTAAGATCAGCCATCTGTGACTAGTATTACCATCTCGTCATACTGGAAGGACGACCACAATGACAAAGTATATATTTATCTAATTGAGATGTGAAATAGATAAAATCAAATGACAAAATAATTGCGATTCACAATATTATTGCGATAATCATCAAAAACGTACTGGAATTTACCTTAAATCTAGTTAAGAAAGTAGAGTTTCCACACAGTTTATTTCTGCACTTCTGTGGGAGATACAATGGGCAAGATGAGTCTTCAGCCATGGTGTAGGATTTTTCAATTGTGAGAATTCAAAAGTAATTCAAGAAATCAATCCTGCACACTACGTCTTTTTCAAATCTTGTGTGAGGATATTCCCAATTATCCCTATGATGCAAATTCACCACGATGTACTTGTAAGTGTATTTTTTACTCCAATATGTGATAACGCAGGTGTCTATTATCAGGAATTAATGGGCAACGTGGAGGCATATTTCCTGATTATGAAAGATAAAGACAGATATAGAAGTACCAACAAAAACCTCTTTCAAATAATAAATCTGAAGTGATTACAAAGTGGTCCTTATCTGACTGAACTGATTGACACTGAACACACCACAGTGTCCCCGCAAGTCAGCTATAAATAACACAACTAAGTATGTGTGTGTGTTTGTTGTTTTATTGTAGAGAAAAACTGTAATCTCAGAGTCATCTATGAGTTAAACTGGTAATAAATTAGATCTTTTGTATAAGACAGTTCCAGAAACTAATTTATCTGTTTTGTCATCATTCATTTGAAGTTACTTTTTTCTTGGGTGTTGTGTTTTCTCTACGTTTAGCGAGAGGACATTTTGTGGTTACATACATTAAACAGACAGAAAGTAAAAGGGATAATTTTGGCAGCCGAGACACAGAAACTTTGCTGGATCTCAAACTTTCTCTCCACCCACATGGTCTGAATCAGTCCAAGCTTGCAAAAGGTTTTCTTTTTAAGTTCTGCATGAATATTTGCAGCCTGAGGGTCTGAGGCCACTGGGAGCTGCCCAGTACAACCACCATCTGCTGCTCTGCATCACCCGGACTAAACGAGTCACTGCGTTGCTCCAGGGCACCTTGAGAACTCAGTTTTCTTTTTTAGAAAGTTGTCAGCCTCTTAAACAGGAAAAACTTGACAGTTTGCAATAAAAATTAGGTTTCTTCTTGTTTTTAGAGTTGTTGTTTTCTTCTAGTGTGATCCACTTTTGATGTATTTGTCAAATCTCAAGAGCCAAAATTTAAACAAAAACCTTTTAATAAAGAATTACTCTCCACTTCTGATATAACCAGGTTTGCACTACTTACATTATTTAGCTAAAGTTGGTTTCTTGAGGATGGTACAGCAGTTTCTGGCTGTTTAAAAACACCACAATATACCCTTCATGAGCCCCGAACCTCAGTCAACTTCCTCCTTTCCCGTACTTAGATATGCTACGTGCTATGCTAATTTATGTTGAAAAGACAACCACATTTTAAATATGGTTTAAAGATAAGAGACACATATATATAGTCACATCTTAAATTAAGTTAAACTAGCTAATGTACATCAACTGTTGGCTACTTGGTTACATCTGATAATCACTTTTATTAGCCGTTCTACAATGCAGTGCCAAAGCAGCCCCTGATGTGCCGATGAAATGTCGTCCAGAGTTATTGTTGGTGTGTTTACATGCCCTGGAGATTATCTGATGACCTGCTTTTGGCAGTAATCTGATCTCATTTATGCACATAATCCAGGTTTCTTTCCAGATTACGGGTTTGAGAATAACTCCGTAACACTGATAGATTTATGATTGACTGACCTGATTATGTGGCCACAAAAAAACCCTGATCCATTGAAATAATGTATTTTGGCTGAGCGTGGAAAATTTAAAACATGCTTAAAAGAAGGACATACAGTATATTGTCTGTCTACTGTTGGGGATTTTCAACTTTTGAGCCAAAACTGCTTCTCATTTGTAAGTGAAACAATGTCAGAGAGACCAAACATTTTCAAATGTATGATTATTTGCAGTAATCTGCTGTTTGCTTGCGTGAAAACAAAGTCCAAGACAGGTTTTTTAGTCAAACTGCATGGTGGACAAGTGCAATTATGTCCTTTGTGACCTTTGTGGAGCATTTAGCTGCTAAAGAACCAGATATTTCCCCCAGAAATTGGTGGAGACCAAAAACAGAGCAAATACTGGGAGTGAATATTGGACTGCTGGAGTCAGCATCACTCCAATAAGTGTATAATTAGCCGGATCAACCAGAGTCAGTGATTCATACACACATTATTAAACCATTTATGTCAACGTCAGACAAACTTATAATACTTTAGCAGTTACCTAGTGTTTCTGTAGTGTTTTTTTTTCTCTTAAACTTCCATTGACTCCGTTATCTAAAATGTTAACTCAGTTCTGAGACTCGTTCCTGCAGCTCTACTCTTCCCCCGTTCACAGTTTCATTACCTGTCTTGTCTTTCTCACCTGTTATTTACCTACATTATTAACATTCGTGTCTCTCTGTCATCCCGCAGGCTATGTGTGCGTGTTAGTGTGTCTGTAAAAATGCTGCTGCTGGACAAACACGCGTGATCGAACATGGAGGCTGTCAGCGCAGTCAACGGGACGCAGGACGAGCTTCGCTTCCTGCCCCCGCCTGACGATGACCTCGGCAACCTCGGCTACCACGACTACAACCCAAATGCCGGCGCTAACCCACCGGCCGTTGCCCACGGTGTTTGAGGGAGTGAATTTTCCAGAAGACCCCATCAAACTGCTGAGTGTACAGGTAGAGCTTTCGTATTCTATGATTTCATATTCGTCTAAAAAAGACGATGAAGGATCTTGATGTTTGTGGGAAATTTGAGGGCACTAATGTATCGTAGTCTACTTGTAGTATGGTGAGGATGTTGCAATTACCATAATTACCATAATTAGCATAATTAGCATAATTAGGGCCCAAGCAGCAACTACTGCGGGAAATGCTGAGTACAAATACAATTACAAAATGGCCGTTTAAACCTTTTACACTCTCTACCTGTGGGAGGTCAGCACTGAAGCTGTAGAGCTTTCATGGACTGCTTGTGCTGTAAAATGTGATTACTGTTAGATTAGACCAGTGGGACCCCAACAAACCTTGACAGGGGTCGTAAGTCCTTTAAAAATATTCCTATATCATATCAATTCATCCATTTCTGTGAAGAAAACCAAATGAAATTGTTATTTTTAAAGTTTACATTGTTGTTTAGGATTGTGGACAGAGATCACAAAGATCTGAACAGATATATTCACAGAGCCTTCGCTGTCTGATAAACAGCCTCGTCCTGCAGTTGATGAGATGAGAGGAAAACACTGAATTTGACAAAAATAAAGCCTATTAAGTCTGTATGATTGTTCAAAATGATAAAAAATATACATATTCACAGGAAATAATCTGTTCAAAATTCATCCAAATAACTGTTGTGTTCACTGTTTGGGTTCATTGTACAGTTTATCAGCTCGACTGTTATTATTATTGACCAATAGACATAAAATATAGTTTACTCACTGATAGAAACCAGTGGATTAAGGCTAAAACAGCTGCTGGAGACACACCGCCCCCTGTTACGCTTCACGCCACTGTCCTATTTACAGAGTCGCCTCGTCTGAAATGATAAATTACACCGGCTTCGGCACCGGCGTCTCTTATCCGTTAGACTCATCTTTTTGGTCAAAACATTTATAAAAATAAACCAGGTACCTTCACAGCAGTTCAACAATGTAATAAATCTAAAAACTTTCAAATCAAATCAAAGAAACAGGAAATGTTGCTGATTCACTTTATTTAATGCACACTTTCTCTGTGCTAAGCTCCTTGTATTTTTCCAAAATAAAAGCATTCTAGGTGATAAAATGTCATAAATAATGTATCTTTTTATAGATTTTTTTTACCAATTGCAGTGAGGTCTGGGAAAGATTCAGTGTCTCTAATTGTAGCTGGTCTCAAATTAAAGCCTGTTTTTTCCCTCAGTAGTTCAGTTCTACTTTTAATTTAACCTTCAGATCACAACTGAAAACTATTAACTCTGTGTCTCAGCCAGTTTACAGTAGAGCTGCTGCGAATAACCTCCTCTGACAGCTGTGTTTTTGTTGTTGTTGTTGTTGTTGTTTGTCTGTCTGCAGGTGGTGTTGATCTTGGCCTACAGCACCATCATCGTGCTGGGGGTTCTGGGTAATTCTCTGGTCATCTACGTCATCTACCGCTTCAAGACGCTCCGCACCGTCACCAACTTCTTCATCGCCAACCTGGCTGTCGGTACGTTCACATACAATAAAAACAAACATATTTTGCATGTCTTGTGCGTGTGTGTGTGTGTGTGTGTGTGTGTGTGTGTGTGTGTGTGTGTGTGTGTGTGTGTGCCCTCTGTAGGTCGCCTGTGATGGTGACTCAGACATCTGTCAGCTGTTATAAGCTGTTTTGCTGTGATTTGTCTGCTGCAGCGTGCCGGAGAGAGAGAGAGAGAGAGAGAGGAAATCAAACATTTATTGTTCATGCATTTGACACGTCTGACGAGGAGGAAGCAGCGTTTTATTGTGGAGTATAAAATGCGATCCGTGAAATAGAGGAAAGAATAGAAATATATAGAGACTCACCAGAGGCACAGAGGAGTATTTTAATGGTTTATGCTAACTCTACTTTTCCTTTTTTGTGGGATATAAAGCAGGATACATAATTTACTTGTGAGCTGAATGTAGTTTTAATGTGAGACAAAGAGGAGAGAGATAATCTTCTGTTTCCTCATCAGTTAATATCATTATAATGTTATAATGCTGCTCAGAATATCTGTTACATGCCGCTCTCTCTTTCTGGGTTGTTATGAATAAATGGAAATTAGGTCAGTGTACTTTCCGGTCAACAGATATTTGTTTTCAAATTAGAAAACCAAAATCAAGTGATAAGCTGTTTCCCAACTACCGTTCATGAATAGGAGAACAAAAAAATAACCCATTTTCCATCCAAATAAAAACTGAAAACCCCTCAAAACGCACTGTTTTTAATTTTTTGTTCCCATTCTCAGTTTTTTCCCTTCTATGTTTAATTTTTTTAGGATTTTAGTTTCCTCATTTGAAAACAAAAATCTGTACACTGATTATAAATTGCATCATCGTACAATTACATAAGTTTATTAAATAAAGAAATTCAACGAGTCTCTGGCAACCGTGCTGCCAGTAACTGCGAACATCGTGATAAACAGTTGATAATTTCAGTCCACCGATTCATCGGCGCGGCTCCAACAGCCACGTGCCACTTCCCCAGCGTGAAAGGATTCATAACTGTGTATTTATGACAGGCTGCAGAGCTTCACGTGTTTCTAACGAGCTGGAGAATATCTCAACTTTGACTCCAAAACACATCAAACAGGATTTAAACAGGCAGTGAAACAACAAACAGAAGCCACGGCTGGCACTTAACCAATCATCTGCTCCGCACTGCGACACAAGCAATGCTTTCTCAGAGTAACAGCCTCGCCGCGCGGCGGGTGATGTCACCTCCGCTCTATTTCTTTCTAATGAGACGCGTGTTCACAGGTCCCCCGCCTGTGAAGTGACACACGATGCTCAATTGTGAAATTTCACGCTGGTGGATAATTAATCATACTTTTACTGCCTGGATTATCTTGTTTTAGAGGCACTGGAGGTGTTCGAGACAACAAATCCATTCAAAGTCGATCTTTAGATGTGTTTCTGGGGCGTTTTTTTATTACACGGCACACGTGAGTCAATTAAAATGTCATCATAAAATAATAGAAAACAATGTCTCTGTGGGGAAAAATATCAATCAGAACGTGAAAAACACGATTGCGTACTGTAAATAAATGAATTATCACATCATGATAATTGCCTGTATCAACATTCCACGCGAGTAAATGATGAGAAGTATGAGAAGTAATGGGGTGTGAAGCGGTGGGGGGTGGAAATCATTGCCGCTTTCTCAATATAAACAATAATGCATATTTTTATTCATAATGTACACTCCAGGGAAAGCAAACGTAACGGTGATAACAGAACAAACAGGTTGAGGTTTCAGCACCATGGACAGAGCGACGGGCTCAGAGGGAGACTTCAGGACCACGGACAGCGGCAGCAGAGAGGCAGCTGATTCAGGAAAAAACTGAGAAACTATATATTTCCATCTTATTTATATCTTCTGACACCTTCATAACTTATTGTTGGTTTTTGGTCTGGAGGAAAATAAAGAATTCCAGCCCATGAGACTCTCCTCATCTAATAGTCTAATATTACATTTTTGTGGTGATTTACATCAGAACATACAAATCACTTTGTAAAATTAAAGGAGTTAAAACCATCAGTTTTAAGTTAAAGTGAAATGAAAAATATAATTTTAACCCTTTCAGATTGCTATTATCATATATATATTATTGTTCCTCTATTTAACCATGTATGTCAAAACATGTTTGAAAACTACGTATCCAATAATTTCTCTAAAACAAAATGACGCCAATAATTCATCCAATAATATCCTGACATTCACCCGTCAATCAATCTTCAACTTTTAGCCACACAGAGTGAAGATTCATTAGTTAGTTAGCTAGCCTTCAGCTAGTCCGACAGAGTCAGCTAATGGGTCCGCTACAGCTGCTGGACTGGAGGGACGTAACACACATTCAGTACTATTAGATACTGCGACGACTCCCTCCCTAACTGCCTGCTTTTACCGGACATACATAAATATGAGGAATTAAACAGTCTGATTTCTGTTCCATGTGTATTTTAACACCCCATAACAATCCTTTAAGGTTCAGTTATCTCTATTTAGTCTCGTTCAATCAGCGTCTTGTTGTGCTCTTCAGATTTAAAATGCTCAAAATCGTTCTTATGAACAGTTATTTTCCATCAGTGTAAGGTCTAATCAGAAGCTCAAATGGGAGAGGCTGTGGGAGTTTTCTGCCTTTGCCTTTATAGGCGAGACAGAATCTCGTCCCCTCTAGTTTTAAAAATCTCTTTAACCGTGACTTAATAACCTTGAGTTTGAGCTGTACCGAGGAGCGCTGATCGGAAGGAATTCAAATTAAAAATCCACCCTCCTGGTTTGTTTGTTCCCTCGTCTTCAGCTCTCCCAAAATAAAGAAACACACAAACAAATAGGTTAATAAAGTAGAAGGAATAAATAATTATATGGAGCGTAAAGTGGCACCTCTTTGCTTGCGTGAGTGTGTGCATTCACATTATAAAGCCTGAAGCATCAGTTGTTCTGAAAAGTGTAAAGAAAATTGGATTTAAAGTAAAACTTCACTGCTGGCTATTATTAATGAACACACACACACACACACACACACACACACACTGATTGCCTGTGTCCTGGAAAAAACATCTATTAACTTCTTTTTGCCTTTTGAGTTTTACAACTTTTGGATATAAAATCTCAATTAAAGTTTCTGTTAAATTCATTGCATCTGCATTACAATGCTACCAGGTAGTTTTACTCTGCTATCCTACCTGACTGACAAATCCAGTATGTGTCTCAACTTTATAATTCCAAAACTGTTTATGTACCCCAGTACGCAGAAATATTCAAATACAATAGGCAAAAAAAATGCACAGTTTTTGCCCAAAAACTACATGGGATTAGCATGAAGTGGGCATGTAGTTAAAGGGGAGACTCGCGGGAACCTGTAAATTTTTTAAAATATTAATTTGGATTGAATAAAATCTTTAAACCTGAAGTTGCTGACATGTTGTGGAAGATTAATTGCAGATAAATGGCAGCTAGCAAGGTCTGCTACATTAACTTAAGATACTTTGATTCAACAGTAATATTAACTTATTTTTACAAATTTGTTTCAAAATACACAATTACTAAGCTGAATGGAAAGGAAACACAATAAATATATGAGAGTGAAATGTGATCTTGACCTCATTTTTCTTGATCTCGAGGGTCACCGTGTCCAATTTCTCATCCATGTGCTCACAAATTAACTCCTGTTTCCATAGAAACTAGATTTATTTTTCATTTTTATAAATAATCTGCATTGAATTCGTCTCCAACACAACACACGGACTGCTGACATGTGGAAATGATAAAGATGAATTCTCTACATCTACATATAAATGAATATTTGTGTATTTATTTTTACAATTTAGCTTAAAATACACAATTCGTAAACTAAAAGTTCAGGAAACAATAAATTATAGCAAAGTATACGTAAACCTACTAAAACACTGCTGTAGCTGCCGTTACAGAGTAATGTCAGCTGCTGTTAGTTAATTAGCTTGTGCAGATGCTGTTAACTGGGAGCTCCCAGAGTCGGTTAATGGGTCCGCTACAGCTGCGTGACGAGGGGCCATAACACACATTCAGCGCTACTGGCAGATTGTGATTTGTGACTGATCATGTGGACTTTAATTTGGGGTTTGTAGCATTTCACAAAGAGCATACAAAGACGTGACACCGCGTGGTCTCCACTGAAAGTCATGTTTAGTTTGTCTCTACCCGCCTGGCACGCCACAAGCACAGCTGTCATCACTTCTCTTCCTGTTGTCTTCACCGCGTTTGTGCAGTTCGGTGTCATCCGAGGAAGCCAAACGGCCACCTTTTATAGCCGAATAAACATACAGTAATGGAGAAGAAGTGGCAGCTGTTCCATTTTGTACTTTTCCAGCACAACAATAGAAACCATATTGGGAGCCAGCAAGGGAATATTAGTGCATGAAATCAAGTGTAAGTGAATCAGAGTGCGGCTGTCAGTCTTTTCATGGTTACATTAAAGGTTAAAAAAAGTTTCTGCAGTGTGTGAGAGAACAGACACGGCTGGAAAATGAAAAGTGTTTTGAAAGTGGAGCAGAAAATAACAACCTACTCCTTTGGAGACAAACGGTTCACTTTTATGTTTTCTTGAGAGAAATACAGAACAGAGAGAGGAAGAGGAAAAGTGAGAGAGAACATTTAAGCGAGACAATAAACTCAAATGAGAAACATTACCAGATAGTAAAATTCATTTCCTATGAAACCTTTGCACTTCCTCTAACATCAAAGGTAAGAAAATATAGTGGAATAACAGAATATAATATTAGTCGAGGACGTTTTTAATGCCTTGTTCTTTAGTTTTTAAATTTCTTTCTTTTGTTTTTTACTGTTAGACGGGTTCCTGAGCAATGTCCTCTTGGATTATGAGTGTTATGCCTTTCATATGATGTCTGCTGTGACCTGTCTGACTTGTGTCTCTTTTTGTTATTTGTCACTGTGCATGAGTAGCAAGCTACTTTTCCTTCTGGGGTTTAATAAAGGCTGTTAAT